AAAGAGCAGAGGGACACTCATGAAAGGAGCTGAACTTGAGTTCTCATGGAGGCCACGGGGCTCAGAGGCCAGAAAAGCCAGTCAGCATCTGCTCCGCACGCCCCGGTCACCTCCCCTCCCTGACCTTGGTTCCTCCACCAGAGATGAAGAGGTGCCACAAGGAGTTTTATAAAGTAGAGCTTCCCAGGCCTCATCCACAGAGATTTGAACTCAGTGTGTCAGGGATGGAGTTGAGCAAACCTTCCCCAGAGGATTCCTGGGACAAGACTGGACCAGTTCCCATCAGCAAAAACACGCCAGGACTCCATGATGTGTGCCAGGGCGCTGCCAGGCAAGGACTCTTCCTGGGTTTTATCATTTTGTTGCCACCCTCGACCCCATGACACAGGCAGGTTTGGAATGGTTCTCAATGATGACTCCTGGACACGTTAGCACAAACTCCTCCCCATACACCGTATTTGTGAGCATCTCTGCATTCTGCGTTTTGGTCACTCATTTATTTATTTATTTATTTTTGGCTGCGTTGGGTCTTCGTTAACTGTGCACAGGCTTTTGCTAGTTGCGGCGAGTGGGGGCTCCTCTTCGTTGCGGTGCGTGGGTTTCTCATTGCGGCGGCTTCTCTTGTTACGGAGCACAGGCTCTAGGAGCGTGGGCTTCAGTAGTTGCGGCATGCGGGCTCAGTAGTTGTGGCACGTGGGCTTCAGTAGTTGTGGCACGTGGGCTCAGTAGTTGTGGCTCACGGGCTCAGTAGTTGTGGCACGTGGGCTCAGTAGTTGTGGCTCACGGGCTCAGTAGTTGTGGCTCGAGGGCTCTAAAGCACAGGCTCAGTAGTTGTGGCACACGGGCTTAGTTGCTCCACGGCATGTGGGATCTTCCCGGACCAGGGCTCAAACCCATGTCCCCTGCACTGGCAGGCGGATTCTCAACCACTGTACCACCGGGGAAGCCCTGTGCTTTTAGTAATTTAAATGCACATCTTTTTCATGATGTAATATCTCTGAAATTGGGTGCATCTTACAATCGATATCACGCTTTGTCTTAGATTTAACACAACACAGTATTGTTGCTATTAGTGATCCGCACTGGGTGCATAATTCCTTTCATGCATAGACATGCTCTCCAAATGAATGGAAGCCAGCTGTTTGTGAAAGGACTTCAGCTAAAATGAAAGGAGTACGAGAGCATCTGAAGGAAGGGCTGAGCCCTGGAGGGTAAATCCGAGCAAATCGGCTTTCGTAAAGGGGACAGTAAAAAAAGGAAAGAAGTGACCAGTTTTGAGAAGAGGGAAATCCAATCTGCTCAAACTGTACAAGGGACGGTCAGAGCAAAGCTGTGTAAATCAAGAGCCAGGAGCCAGGCCCGTGGCCTCTGGAGGAATAGAAATCTGACCCAGTGCTCAACACTCAACACCTAGAAGACACACCTGGGGAAGCTCCAGGGCCGTGCTGCGGTCCTAGGGAAACCTGTGTCTCATCCCTGCCCAGCCTACACAGCCTGCCATCAGAACCAGGCCCCTGATCGCTGCAGGCCCCGGGGTGGACCCGGGGAGCTCCAGGGCCAGTTGGCCCAAGCACTTGGACATAGCTGTTTCCCTATGCACCTCAGAAAAGCAGCAGCTGCGTGGACTGCTGAATTGCAGAGCTGCTGCAGCAGCCAGGTTTGTGGGCAGGACAATTGGCAGCTCTGCATGTTGGGAGCCGTGGCTGAGAGCAGCTCTCCCTCCCTCCACGGCCCCACCCTTCTGAGCTACCTCCCTGCGTGGCCGAGAAAAAGCAGAGGCTAAAGCCCAGCTCTGCCACTGCCTAACCGCGGGGAGGGAGGCAAGCCTCGTCCCTCATTGGAGAAGGGCGTCCCGGAGTGAGACGGGAATACCAACTACAGACACTGTCTCACAGGTGGACACATGGAGCCTGGCGCCGAGCAAGCAGCCGATAAACAAAGACGGCTGCCGTGGGTCCCATGTCACAGAGGCCTCGGGTGATGACAAGCATCCTTCCATTTGCCACCTTAGCGCTTCACACGGGGGAACTGAGGTTTCTGAATACAATGACAGGGAGGGTCCTGCCCAGGACCTGCTGGGACTTCACAGCCCCAGGCCCAGCTTCTGCCTCTTCCGTGTGCTGGCTGTGTGACCCTCGCTGTTTACTCAACCCCGCCTCCTCTGTGGATGGGACAATAATAACAGTGCCTAACTGAAAAGACTGAAATGAAGACCGAATGGAATAATGCACATAAAAGGTTAGCCTAAGAAACGGTGACCCCGTATCGTCATCGTCATCGTCATTGATATCCGGGCCACCAAAGAGAGTCCTTCCACTGTCCTTCCTGCCATTAGGTTTAGCTTCAGAATGGTGAGCAGGTCACCAGCAGGACAGAAGGACATCTTTGTCCCTTTCCCCATCTCCATCTGCCTGGGTTGTGTGTGGGGGGGGGGAGATGAATGGTTGCCATGGCAACACTATCAATTCACTAGTATTTGGGGGCTCCCTGGTGAACAGAAGGCTGCTTTTGTTGATCTTTTATCTGGGAGGGTCACACTCCTCCAGAACGAAGTGGGGGCTCAGGGAGGAACCCACTCTTCTAATGGGCAGGTCTAAGAATCTCCATCCTCACTGGCAAGTGAGACTCAGGGAAGGAGGCTGAGGCCTGTGTCTGGTTCTTCCCATTGTGTCTCACTGCCTGGCCCATCAGAAATGCCACTCAGAAAGTGAGGTCACTGGACTCTCACAGGGCAGTGGAGGGCACCCCAGGAGGGCCAGGGCCGTGGCTCTTGCCCACCTCTTGCCCCCCATACAATTTGGAACCAGAAAAAGAGCTCCCAAAGGCAACCCCATGGGGTTTTTCTAGTGATTGCTGCCACCGCCTGGGCTGTAGGACAGTGGCTTAGAGCCGTCCCTGCACCACAGGACCAGCTCTCGCAGGCACAGGCACCAGGCACCTAGGTGGACACAGAACCAGGAGTCCAGGCACCCCCTCTCCCTTTGAAAGCCGGGGGGTGCAGAGTCCAGCACGGCCCGTCTCCAGCTGGCCCACCTTTGTCTTTTCCCTGCTCAAAGGAAAAGTGGGAACAGTACTCCAGCACATTTCCCGGGAGGTCCCTGGAGGTATTAAATGGTTTACAGAAAGCCTTAGCAAGAAGGCTGTTTTCTAGGAAAAGTCTGTCTTTCCATCCTTCCTCTGGTCAGCCCAGGCCTGAGCTTGGTCACTAGGGTGACCACAGTGTGAAGGTCAGGGAGGACTTCCAGACGTCTACCAGCCCTTGCAACCCATCCGGCCTCACCCCACAGTGGCAGAGGGTGACACACCTAGCCTGCCATCTCTGCCTCCCAGAGATCTCTTCCCTGATCCACCACAGGCAGCCCTGCCAGGCCAGGTCCCGAGACAGGACATCTCTGTGGACCCAAGTCCAAGATGGAGCTATGATGTCCTTTCAGAGCCAGTGAAGAGACATGGACCAGTAGGTGGTGAACAAACCTCTGCTCAGCAAGCACTGGCCATGTGGTCAATAGAAAAGGTAAGTCTGACTAAGTCCCACCCCATCTTGCAGGGCAAAGTTCCAGCACGTGAGGGAGGCAGGGAGGCCTGGCCTTCCATGGTCTGAGCCCAGCCTCCTGCCCTGGCTCACCCCTCCCCCTCCCCATGTCCCACATTACTAATGGTTTCCTGAACGCACCCCAATGTCTCATTCAATTTCTTGCACACCTACTATGTCCAGGCATTGTGCCAGTCAAGGCCCACAATAGAAAGCAAGCAGACTTGGTCCTGGAGTTAGATGCTCCCACGGGAAATGCTCCCATTTCCCTGCAGGCTTTTCAAAGACAGGAGCTGTATCCCCAAGACGCACATACCAGGCAGTAAGAAAGTGCTGGATCAACAGTCATGAACACAACAATGAGAAAGTCATACCCTCCTGTTCTCAGGGAGCTTTTGATCTTCCCGCACCAGGTGTTTCCATAGGAAAGGTTTACATAACAGCCAGAAGACGTGGTCTCAATTTAAGGCTGTCTTCCCAGTGGTGCGGCCAATCGCAGCAGGAAGGAACCTGCAGCCGGGGTACCAGGGAAGGATGCACAGTCTGAACCAGGCTCTGGACGCTACACAGGATTTGGTTTCAGAGCAGAAGGGAGGCCACACCAGGCAAGGCTGATAGCCAGGTTCAGGCAGGAGGAGAAACAGAGTAATTATGGTTGAGCCAAACCCGATGTTGCCAACAGACCCCCCGGGAAAGAAAGGCACGGCTGCCCCTGGGACACTGTTCTAATAGGTCAGTGGCCTCAGCTTCCCTTAGCAGCTAGTTCTGGACCCTGTCACATCCCCAACCTTACGGACTCTCCTTGAATCAGTTTCTGTTTTCTCCTAAGCTCGTGCCTCCAGACCCTCTGTTTGTTATCCCCCGAGTAAAGCACTCGGAGGTGCCTTTCTCTGATTCCTCCCAGGCCACTCCATCCACTGCAGGGTTTGGTGAGCAGGCCTGGGTTCCCATGCCTGGATCCCAAGCCA